CCTACAGGTGTCTCCCTCCCTCCAACTGATATTTACTGTGTCCTGGAGGAGTCCCACTCACTCCAAACTGATATTTACTGTGACCTGGAGGAGTCCCACTCCCTCCAACTGATATTTACTGTGTCCTACAGGTGTCTCACTCACTCCAACTGATATTTACTGTGTCCTGCAGGTGTCTCCCTCCAACTGATATTTACTGTGTCCTACAGGTGTCTCCCTCCAACTGATATTTACTGTGTCCTACAGGTGTCTCCCTCCCTCCAACTGATATTTACTGTGACCTACAGGTGTCTCCCTCCCTCCAACTGATATTTACTGTGTCCTACAGGTGTCTCCCTCCCTCCAACTGATATTTACTGTGTCCTGCAGGTGTCCCATTCCCTCCAACTGATATTTACTGTGACCTACAGGTGTCTCCCTCCCTCCAACTGATATTTACTGTGACCTACAGGTGTCCCATTCCCTCCAACTGATATTTACTGTGTCCTGCAGGTGTCCCATTCCCTCCAACTGATATTTACTGTGACCTACAGGTGTCTCCCTCCCTCCAACTGATATTTACTGTGTCCTGCAGGTGTCCCACTCCCTCCAAACTGATATTTACTGTGACCTGGAGGAGTCCCACTCCCTCCAAACTGATATTTACTGTGTCCTACAGGTGTCTCCCTCCCTCCAACTGATATTTACTGTGTCCTACAGGTGTCTCACTCACTCCAACTGATATTTACTGTGTCCTGCAGGTGTCTCCCTCCAACTGATATTTACTGTGTCCTACAGGTGTCTCCCTCCAACTGATATTTACTGTGTCCTACAGGTGTCTCCCTCCCTCCAACTGATATTTACTGTGACCTACAGGTGTCTCCCTCCCTCCAACTGATATTTACTGTGACCTACAGGTGTCTCCCTCCCTCCAACTGATATTTACTGTGTCCTGGAGGAGTCCCACTCCCTCCAAACTGATATTTACTGTGTCCTGCAGGTGTCCCCCTCCCTCCAAACTGATATTTACTGTGACCTGGAGGAGTCCCACTCCCTCCAAACTGATATTTACTGTGACCTGGAGGAGTCCCACTCCCTCCAAACTGATATTTACTGTGACCTGGAGGAGTCCCACTCACTCCAACTGATATTTACTGTGTCCTAGAGGAGTCCCACTCCCTCCAAACTGATATTTACTGTGACCTACAGGTGTCTCCCTCCCTCCAACTGATATTTACTGTGACCTGGAGGAGTCCCACTCCCTCCAAACTGATATTTACTGTGACCTGGAGGAGTCCCACTCCCTCCAAACTGATATTTACTGTGACCTGGAGGAGTCCCACTCACTCCAACTGATATTTACTGTGTCCTGGAGGAGTCCCACTCCCTCCAACTGATATTTACTGTGTCCTGGAGGAGTCTCACTCCCTCCAAACTGATATTTACTGTGACCTGGAGGAGTCCCACTCCCTCCAAACTGATATTTACTGTGACCTGGAGGAGTCCCACTCCCTCCAAACTGATATTTACTGTGACCTACAGGTGTCTCCCTCCCTCCAACTGATATTTACTGTGACCTGGAGGAGTCCCACTCCCTCCAAACTGATATTTACTGTGACCTACAGGTGTCTCCCTCCCTCCAACTGATATTTACTGTGTCCTGGAGGAGTCCCACTCCCTCCAAACTGATATTTACTGTGACCTACAGGTGTCTCCCTCCCTCCAAACTGATATTTACTGTGACCTACAGGTGTCTCCCTCACTCCAACTGATATTTACTGTGACCTGCAGGTGTCCCACTCCCTCCAACTGATATTTACTGTGTCCTGGAGGAGTCCCACTCCCTCCAAACTGATATTTACTGTGACCTACAGGTGTCTCCCTCCCTCCAAACTGATATTTACTGTGACCTACAGGTGTCTCCCTCCCTCCAAACTGATATTTACTGTGACCTACAGGTGTCTCCCTCCCTCCAAACTGATATTTACTGTGACCTACAGGTGTCTCCCTCACTCCAACTGATATTTACTGTGACCTGCAGGTGTCCCACTCCCTCCAACTGATATTTACTGTGTCCTGGAGGAGTCCCACTCCCTCCAAACTGATATTTACTGTGACCTACAGGTGTCTCCCTCCCTCCAAACTGATATTTACTGTGACCTACAGGTGTCTCCCTCACTCCAAACTGATATTTACTGTGACCTACAGGTGTCTCCCTCACTCCAACTGATATTTACTGTGACCTACAGGTGTCTCCCTCCCTCCAACTGATATTTACTGTGTCCTGGAGGAGTCCCACTCCCTCCAAACTGATATTTACTGTGTCCTGGAGGAGTCCCACTCCCTCCAAACTGATATTTACTGTGACCTACAGGTGTCTCCCTCCCTCCAAACTGATATTTACTGTGACCTACAGGTGTCTCCCTCCCTCCAACTGATATTTACTGTGTCCTGGAGGAGTCCCACTCACTCCAAACTGATATTTACTGTGACCTGGAGGAGTCCCACTCCCTCCAACTGATATTTACTGTGTCCTACAGGTGTCTCACTCACTCCAACTGATATTTACTGTGTCCTGCAGGTGTCTCCCTCCAACTGATATTTACTGTGTCCTACAGGTGTCTCCCTCCAACTGATATTTACTGTGTCCTACAGGTGTCTCCCTCCCTCCAACTGATATTTACTGTGACCTACAGGTGTCTCCCTCCCTCCAACTGATATTTACTGTGTCCTACAGGTGTCTCCCTCCCTCCAACTGATATTTACTGTGTCCTGCAGGTGTCCCATTCCCTCCAACTGATATTTACTGTGACCTACAGGTGTCTCCCTCCCTCCAACTGATATTTACTGTGACCTACAGGTGTCCCATTCCCTCCAACTGATATTAACTGTGACCTACAGGTGTCCCACTCCCTCCAACTGATATTTACTGTGTCCTGCAGGTGTCCCACTCCCTCCAAACTGATATTTACTGTGACCTGGAGGAGTCCCACTCCCTCCAAACTGATATTTACTGTGACCTGGAGGAGTCCCACTCCCTCCAAACTGATATTTACTGTGACCTGGAGGAGTCCCACTCACTCCAACTGATATTTACTGTGTCCTAGAGGAGTCCCACTCCCTCCAAACTGATATTTACTGTGACCTACAGGTGTCTCCCTCCCTCCAACTGATATTTACTGTGACCTGGAGGAGTCCCACTCCCTCCAAACTGATATTTACTGTGACCTGGAGGAGTCCCACTCCCTCCAAACTGATATTTACTGTGACCTGGAGGAGTCCCACTCACTCCAACTGATATTTACTGTGTCCTGGAGGAGTCCCACTCCCTCCAACTGATATTTACTGTGTCCTGGAGGAGTCTCACTCCCTCCAAACTGATATTTACTGTGACCTGGAGGAGTCCCACTCCCTCCAAACTGATATTTACTGTGACCTGGAGGAGTCCCACTCCCTCCAAACTGATATTTACTGTGACCTACAGGTGTCTCCCTCCCTCCAACTGATATTTACTGTGACCTGGAGGAGTCCCACTCCCTCCAAACTGATATTTACTGTGACCTACAGGTGTCTCCCTCCCTCCAACTGATATTTACTGTGTCCTGGAGGAGTCCCACTCCCTCCAAACTGATATTTACTGTGACCTACAGGTGTCTCCCTCCCTCCAAACTGATATTTACTGTGACCTACAGGTGTCTCCCTCACTCCAACTGATATTTACTGTGACCTGCAGGTGTCCCACTCCCTCCAACTGATATTTACTGTGTCCTGGAGGAGTCCCACTCCCTCCAAACTGATATTTACTGTGACCTACAGGTGTCTCCCTCCCTCCAAACTGATATTTACTGTGACCTACAGGTGTCTCCCTCCCTCCAAACTGATATTTACTGTGACCTACAGGTGTCTCCCTCCCTCCAAACTGATATTTACTGTGACCTACAGGTGTCTCCCTCACTCCAACTGATATTTACTGTGACCTGCAGGTGTCCCACTCCCTCCAACTGATATTTACTGTGTCCTGGAGGAGTCCCACTCCCTCCAAACTGATATTTACTGTGACCTACAGGTGTCTCCCTCCCTCCAAACTGATATTTACTGTGACCTACAGGTGTCTCCCTCACTCCAAACTGATATTTACTGTGACCTACAGGTGTCTCCCTCACTCCAACTGATATTTACTGTGACCTACAGGTGTCTCCCTCCCTCCAACTGATATTTACTGTGTCCTGGAGGAGTCCCACTCCCTCCAAACTGATATTTACTGTGTCCTGGAGGAGTCCCACTCCCTCCAAACTGATATTTACTGTGACCTACAGGTGTCTCCCTCCCTCCAAACTGATATTTACTGTGACCTACAGGTGTCTCCCTCCCTCCAAACTGATATTTACTGTGACCTACAGGTGTCTCCCTCACTCCAACTGATATTTACTGTGACCTGCAGGTGTCCCACTCCCTCCAACTGATATTTACTGTGTCCTGGAGGAGTCCCACTCCCTCCAAACTGATATTTACTGTGACCTACAGGTGTCTCCCTCCCTCCAAACTGATATTTACTGTGACCTACAGGTGTCTCCCTCACTCCAAACTGATATTTACTGTGACCTACAGGTGTCTCCCTCACTCCAACTGATATTTACTGTGACCTACAGGTGTCTCCCTCCCTCCAACTGATATTTACTGTGTCCTGGAGGAGTCCCACTCCCTCCAAACTGATATTTACTGTGACCTACAGGTGTCTCCCTCCCTCCAAACTGATATTTACTGTGACCTACAGGTGTCTCCCTCCCTCCAAACTGATATTTACTGTGACCTACAGGTGTCTCCCTCACTCCAACTGATATTTACTGTGACCTGCAGGTGTCTCACTCCCTCCAACTGATATTTACTGTGTCCTGCAGGTGTCTCACTCCCCCCAACTGATATTTACTGTGTCCTACAGGTGTCTCACTCCCTCCAACTGATATTTACTGTGACCTGCAGGTGTCCCACTCCCTCCAACTGATATTTACTGTTCCCTACAGGTGTCCCACTTCCTGAGTACGCTAGAGATAGACCTGCAGCATGGAGTCGGGGGGAGACTGGATTCACTCCTCGGTCAGTGTATGTATTTTGGGCTGAGCTTCAGTCGAGTTGGCGCCGACTTCCGCGGCCTCTTGCCATCGATTTTCAAGACAGCTGCACTGCAGAACTTCAAGGCAGGACTGAAGGAGGCAAACACAAGGTTGGTCTAACGTGTGTAGCACAACTTGGTCATAGCCATGTACTGGCAAACACAAGGTTGGTCTAACGTGTGTAGCACAACTTGGTCATAGCCATGTACTGGCAAACACAAGGTTGGTCTAACGTGTGTAGCACAACTTGGTCATAGCCATGTACTGGCAAACACAAGGTTGGTCTAACGTGTGTAGCACAACTTGGTCATAGCCATGTACTGGCAAACACAAGGTTGGTCTAACGTGTGTAGCACAACTTGGTCATAGCCATGTACTGGCAAACACAAGGTTGGTCTAACGTGTGTAGCACAACTTGGTCATAGCCATGTACTGGCAAACACAACGTTGGTCTAACGTGTGTAGCACAACTTGGTCATAGCCATGTACTGGCAAACACAAGGTTGGTCTAACGTGTGTAGCACAACTTGGTCATAGCCATGTACTGGCAAACACAAGGTTGGTCTAACGGGTGTAGCACAACTTGGTCATAGCCATGTACTGGCAAACACAACGTTGGTCTAACGTGTGTAGCACAACTTGGTCATAGCCATGTACTGGCAAACACAAGGTTGGTCTAACGTGTGTAGCACAACTTGGTCATAGCCATGTACTGGCAAACACAACGTTGGTCTAACGCGTGTAGCAAGTCTTGGTCATAGCCATGTACTGGCAAACACAAGATTGGTCTAACGTGTGTAGCACAACTTGGTCATAGCCATGTACTGGCAAACACAACGTTGGTCTAACGTGTGTAGCAAGTCTTGGTCATAGCCATGTACTGGCAAACACAACGTTGGTCTAACGCGTGTAGCAAGTCTTGGTCATAGCCATGTACTGGCAAACACAACGTTGGTCTAACGCGTGTAGCAAGTCTTGGTCATAGCCATGTACTGGCAAACACAACGTTGGTCTAACGTGTGTAGCACAACTTGGTCATAGCCATGTACTGGCAAACACAACGTTGGTCTAACGTGTGTAGCACAACTTGGTCATAGCCATGTACTGGCAAACACAACGTTGGTCTAACGCGTGTAGCAAGTCTTGGTCATAGCCATGTACTGGCAAACACAACGTTGGTCTAACGCGTGTAGCAAGTCTTGGTCATAGCCATGTACTGGCAAACACAACGTTGGTCTAACGGGTGTAGCACGTCTTGGTCATAGTCATGTACTGGCAAACACAACGTTGGTCTAACGTGTGTAGCACATCTTGGTCATAGTCATGAACTGCCAAACACAAGGTTGGTCTAACTCTTGGTCTCCAGTTATTCAAAAATAAAATATCAATTGAACGATTTGGGGAACTGGTTCAGATTGAGAAGGTTTGAGATTCAGAAGGTTTTGGATCTAAGAGGTTAAGGGTCTAATAGGTTGGGGATCTAAGAGGTTCGGGATCAAAGAGGTTGGGGATCTAAGAGGTTGGGGATCTAGGAGCTTCAGGATCTAAGAGGTTGTGGATCTGCTAAGTTCAGGATCTAAGAGGTTGTGGATCTATTTAGTTTAGGATCTAAGAGGTTCGGGATCAAAGAGGTTGAGGATCTAAGAGGTTGGGGATCTAGGAGCTTCAGGATCTAAGAGGTTGGGATCTAGGAAGTTTGGGATCTAGAGGTTGGGGATCTAGGAGGTTCAGGATCTGGGAAGTTCAGGATCTAAGAGTTTCAGGATCTAAGAGGTTGGGGATATAGGAGGTTCAGGATATAGGAGGTTCACAATTTAGGAGGTTTGGGATGTAGGAGGCACGTGATCTGGGAGATACAGAATCTTGGAAGTTTGGTATCTGGGAGGGGATATAATAAGTTCCGGATCTAAGAGGTTGGGATCTAGGAAGTTCGGGATCTAAGAGGTTGGGATCTAGGAAGTTCAGGATCTAGGAGGTTCAGAATCTAGAAAGTTCGGGATCTAGGAGGTTCAGAATCTAGGAAGTTCGGGATCTAAGAGGTTGGGATCTAGGAAGTTCGGGATCTAAGAGGTTGGGATCTAGGAAGTTTGGGATCTAGAGGTTGGGATCTAGGTGGTTCAGGATCTAAGAGGTTGGGGATCTCGGAAGTTCAGGATCTAGGAGGTTGAGGATATAAGAAGTTTGGGATCTAAGAGATTTGGGATCTATGAGGTTCGGGGATCTAGGAGGTTCAGGATCTAAGAGGTTTGGGATCTCAGAAGTTCAGGATCTAGGAGGTTTGGGATGTCGGATTTGGAATCCTGGTTGTTCAGGGTCTAGAAGGTGCAGGATCCAGAAGGTTCAGGAGCTAGGAGGTTTGGGATCTGAAGGTTGTATTGACACATAGCCTTCAACAAACAAACTACTAAATTTTATTGATTCAAAATCCAATGATTGTAGTCCCCATAGACTGGTGGCTTTTGAGGCCATAATTCTGAACCAGTTCCCAATTCTTTCTTTTGTCCTACAAGAGTAACTGAATAAAATTGACAACATGTAGACATAGTAAACCTTACTCCAAATCTAAGCACAAGTGAAATAAGTTTCCTCCAGTCATATGGTCTTGATAATAAATAAAAATGACAAAAACATTTCCATAAACATTAATCTCTACTTAGGCAGAGTACATTGTACAATTCTTACTATATCATAAGCATGTATTTATTAATCACTATTGGGGGCACGGGTGGTCCAGTTGTCTAAGGCGCCGCGATTCGCTGTGCAGAGTTGCGTCCCTTGGGCACGCTAGAAACCTATGATTGTGGGTTCGAATCCCGGTTCGCCCCGATTATGTTTCTAGGTTTGTCAGCACCATACCCGTGCTCGTGGGTTTCACCGAAGTGGTCGACGTCTGAGACCTGCATCACTTCGGGCTTTCCTCCCACATTAAGCTGACACGCCGTGATATGACTGGAATACTGTTAAAAGCGGCGTTAAACCCAACTCACTCACTCACTCACTATTAATAACTATCAAATAGTGGGGATACCATATGTCTTGAAAAGGTGAGCACAACCTGCCCTACTGGTGGAACTCATCACACCTATTTAAATTCTATAGTAAGGCCTTGGGGTCAGAAGCCAGGCGCTGAGATCGTATCCTGTTAGTGACTCGGTTGTTCTTCAGCCTTTTTACCACCGATGTTTACAGGTCTTTACAGTGTTGTCACTACTCGTAGTGTACAGTACATTCACCCTGTGAACTGTGCCGCCTCCGTGGTCTTGTGGTAGAACGTCTGCCCGGAGAGCGGAAGGTCCGGGGTTCGATCCCCGGCCGCGCCATACCAAAAGACGTTAAAAGATGGTACTTGTTGTTACCCTGTCTGGCGCTTGGCATTAAGGGGCTAAAACAAGGACTGGTCGGCTCGGAGTCAGTATACTGTGTCTGAGTGGGGTATTCATGTTAAACTGCGGCATGGTATCTCAGTGAGCTAGCACTATAAATCGGCATCAGTCCGGACTAGTACAAGCAGCCACACACACACACGTGCATGCACGTCACTATATAAGTGCAATAATCTTGGACGCGACGTTAAACCCAATTTCACCTCACCTCACACCCTGTGAACTGTAAAGAACCCACTTGTCTGATGGTAGATGACCAGATGGTGGTAACACGAATACATACATACACCCGTAACACAAGTGTCAAAACATGTGGTGTCACCCTGGGCCAGTGACTTGGCTCAAATGTATGAACTGCCACTTGGAGCTTGGGATTGGGTTCCTGATATGTGAGGTGCTCCCACAGACATCTAGGGTTGTATACTCCCAAGGGAGTTGAGAAAGATAGCTGGAATGCAAACGGATCCACTAGACGGAGAACAAATAAAATCACATTTGAGCAGATACTAGTACCTGGATACCAGCAGTATATTAATGTATAACATAATATTCAAATAATATTAAAAGGAAAGTCTCTTCTGTTTTTCTCTTTCAAATTTTCCGTGTCAAACTTTTGAAGTTGCATGATTAGAAAGCACATTCCGACTGTCACTTTCCTGATCTAGTATGCTACTCTCTGATTGGTTGGATGAAAGGTTCTGATGTGACCTGTAATGGGATCTCCTGTAATCAGATCTTTGTTTAGCGGCACCAAGAACTAAGATCTGATTTTAATGACACTGGGAATTGACTATTTGATGATTATTGAATGATATCAGTTTATCGATATTCCTAAGCTAAAGTAAAACTTCTTGGCCAAATTCTCTTACTGTATTCGACGTAATAAGCGCCCCGCTCTGATAAGCGCCCACGCCGATATTTGCTAATATATTGGCGAGTGAACAATCGCAATTAGCACCACTTCTGATTGATCAATGTCCACAATTCATGTATGATACGCAGTCATGTGTTATATGCACCCTCAGTTATGGGGAATTAAATTCAGGAATAATATATCTGTCGTATATAAATATTTCAGGCTGTCAGCATAAACCACGAAATTTACGATCTTTCAATTCTTTTATTTTCACCTAAATAATATTCAAATAAGAGCCCCAAAATCAAAATACTGTATTCCACGTAATAAGTGACCCGTGAAGATTCCGGGGTAGAATGGGTCTTCAGCAACCCATGCTTGCCGTAAAAGGCAACTATGCTTGTCGTAAAAGGCGACTAACGGGATCTGGTGGTCAGGCTCGCTGACTTGGTTGATACATGTCATTGATCCCAATTGCGTGGATCGATGCTCATGATATTAATCACTGGATTGTCTGGTCCAGACTCGATTATTTACAGACCGCTGTCATATAGCTGGAATATTGCTGAGTGCGGCGTTAAACAACAAACCAAACCAAAACCCAAAAAATATTACGTGGAATACAGTATTTTGATTTTTGATTATTTATTACGTTGAATACAGTATTTTGATTTTACCAATCCAAGCAGAAATTGTGATTCATATGCATAAAGATACCGATCGGCAAGAAGGGGAGTGCAGTTGGTACCAAAGGGGATGCTTAATTCTTGCTTAAATGTCTCTTCCTCAAGTTTCACATAGGTGTTATCAATTGGGATTCAAGCATATTTGGGGGCACGGGTGGCCCAGTCTAAGGCGCCGCGATTTGCTG